ATCCGCATGAAGAATTAAAAGTGGTTGATTTTTTCTTTTTTACTTTTGACGTATTTTAATCTTTGTTTTACCGGCGTCTGTTTGGCATTAATAACAAGTTAAGAACTTGCGTTTTTCAGAAAATACCAAATATTCCACGGTTCATACAATAAAATGTAATCATAATGTTTATCATTTAATTAAAGATACATTATGGGATACATGAACAGAGAATTAAGCATTTGAAATTTCGGCATAGCCTCGGTCATGATTACTAAGGTCGGTACGATAAAACATAGTCTCGATTATCCATTTCAGGATTAAATCATGTATGAAAGCTGAGCAGCAAATCGGATCATAATCCAATAAATATCACAGGTTAGCGTTGACATCGAGAGTTGACTATGCTCTGGAAAAGTTAATTAATGTCTAATTAATAATTTAGATAATATTTCGGGCCTAAAGAAAGACCTGCGATAAGCAGATTTAGCTCTTACATAATGTATGTTTAAGACAATTAAGAAAACAGATGAAAATAGCAACGGCAGATAATATCCCGACTTTGATTTTATCGGATTGAAAGAGAGAGAGAGAGAGAGGGAGAGAGAGAGAGAGAGAGAGAGATGGGTTTAACGTCCACTCGACACAAACTAGGTCATTTCGGGACTAACACATGGTTCAATTTTATTTCTATAATTCGCTTGCGCGTAGGGGTCTTTAGCAGTGGGAGGACCCGGAGAAAACCCACGAGGTTGGACAGGCGACCCTACTCCTTGTCAAGTACAACCGGGGATTCGCAACCACGCCAGTTAACTCAATGACAGACCTTATGATACAGCACGCACATGCTAACCATTCGGCCCCCCAATCCACCGATTGACAAAGAGATCCATGGCAAGATTCAGACAAACTCATAGGCCGCGTTGGCATATGTTGATTATATCCGATATGACGTGTGCAAGTAGACGCCGAATGTTGACAAATTATCAATTTATATCTTTGTAAATACTGAACGGAATTGATGTAACACTATCTTAGTGATTACAGAGATCAGTTTAGTAAATATATTATTTATTTACATCAGGTATATAAAACAGCTACATAAATACAACAGGAACATAATATTAAAGTAGCTAAGCCTCTATATCACTCAATATCATCCAAAGTCTTCGACATTGAAAACACAAAATATTTGTAAATTTAAATTAACATGGATGTTGTGATCTTACCGGGAAAGTATGGGCTTCTGATATCCAATATTTAAGACAAAATAAACATTATACTATTGGTACACGAATCGTGTACCACAATGCGTTGAGCGCCATTTAAAACAAGGGACTCGAAAATACAGTAAAAATAGAAACGATTGAACGTAAATCAGTTTATATACATGTACATTCATATAACACTGTTATATGCGTTGCAACCCATTTGTGTCAATTTTTAGGTCCTAAATATTAGCGATTTAGCTTCTTTAAACAAAAACTAAACTACATCAGGAATATAAACACAGTACTTTAAAGATACATTATGGGAGATTATAAAAATAGCTGACAGTTCTCACTATAATAGTTAGAAACTAGATAATGTAGACGGAATTTGCTGAAATTTTCAGTCAAATTGATCAACTCTGAACCGAATATTTAGTGATCGAATTTTGAGCCCAGCCTCGATCATCATTACTAAAGTCGGTACAAAAAACAAAACAAAACATAGCCTCGATTATCCAGTTTTTTATTTAAGAAGTAGCAGCAGACCGGGTTCCAGTCCAGTAAATATCACAGGCTAGTGATGCCATCGAGATTTGATTATGGTCTGGATAAGTTAATTAATTTGATCATGATCTGGATCAGTTAATTAATGTCTAATTAATAATTTAGATAAAATTTCAGGCCTAAAGTAAGACCTGCAATTGGCAGATTTAGCTCTTGCATAATGTATGTTTAATGTAGTATACGACTATATTTCAACCATTTTAAATAAATAATTTACATGTATGCAATATAATCTTAATATGATACGAGTTATGGAGCACTTTGTCACTTTGAACCATTTTCGTAATAATATTTTTTTAGAGATTCAAATTCCACGATATTATAATTTTCAGAGGATTGACAATCTCTTACATTTAGGCCTGGATAATAGATCTAAATATACAATTAGCCCTGGATAATATATCTAAATATACAATCTAATTTGTACGTCCCCAAATGCACCAAGTCACGCAAATCCCGACAAATCCTGAATTATTATGTTTATGGAATTGGCAAATCCCCCAAACGAATAAATCAGTCTATATTTTTGTTTGGTGCATGTCACGGTGTTCGGACTACCACGCCCCCAAACAAAAAGAGAGAAATGGCGGGAGTTTGATCGATACGTGTTCGTGTTTTATCCTCACCCAACTTTAATGGTCGGTTTACTTTATAAACACTGTAACGAGTATCTAAACTTCTCATAAAGACGACAAATTGAAATGGGATTGTGGCCCTCTAATACTTCTAAGAGATTTTGTTAATAAAACGCCATGATTAAGCTCACTTCACCGAGCTCTCTTCGATTCCAATAATCTTAGATTCGCCAAACGCAGCACAGCGCACGTTCACATGTTTCGGATTTTTATTTTCAGCTAAAAGAACATGAATAATAAAATCTATTTGATTTGATCCAATTACCTCATTACTTCGTGACTAATGGAGAGAGAGAGAGGGGAGAGAGAGAGAGAAAAGAGAGAGAGAGAGAGAGGGGGGTAACGTCCACTCGACACAAACTAGGTCAATTTTATTTCAATAATTCGCATGCGCGTAGGGGTCTTTAGCCGTAAGAGGAAACCAGAAGACCCGGAGAAAACCCACGAGGTTGGACAGGCAACCCTACTCCTTGTGACGTACAACCGGGGTATTGAAACCACGCCAGTTGACTCAATGACAGATCTTGTGATACACCACGGACGCGCTAACCATTCAGTCATCCTACCCCCACTACTTAGCCCCAACAGAGTGGGGGCAATCTCCCAATGGAAATAAAGCTCTCTCTGAAAACCGAGGTCACATTGGCGTGCACGTAACAGATTCTTTGGCAGTTTGATTTCGATATAACAGTCGGCCGTAGTGCCGCTGTCCGGGCGAAATTTCTCTCATAGTACACTGTATGCCCGTCTTCTTAGTCCAGTCGGAGCAGAACAATAGGGTGTTAAACCCCATTTCATTTACCGATCATTGAAATTGAACTAGCAAAACATTGTGTATAAAGAAACAGACCAGTAACAAAAGGGGCACAAAGTTGGCTGCCCATGAGTCCCGTCAGTATTTTGTTAAATTTGGTCTTTGATGCATCCATAATAATCTCCATCCAGCTTGTCAAAAAAAACCCCGAGACTCCGATGTATAACACTAGCTGCAGCATGCTAAATATCTGCCGACATTTGGAATTCGAAAGTCCATTGTCATTTCAATCCGCAATCTAGTATTTTGGTTTCAAATTAACAATAATAGCTGTACCCAGTCCAGCAGAATTATAGTTAGTAGCAGGTTGATTAGAAATTACATGAATAAATGTTAGATGATAGCACGATAGAACTTTGAATCTAATATACCGCCATACTCTCCAACCATTCTGATCTCGACAACCGGTGTTATCCTCTCCCCTACTTTCCCGATCTCAGCAACGCTCCCTCCACAACCGGTGTTATCTGCTCCCAAAACGGTGTGACCCCCCACCCCTCCCAAACATCTTAATCGCCAAAACCGGTGTTATCTTCTTCCCAACCGATGTGATCTCTTGCCACGCCACCTTGATCTCCCCTAAACGGTGTGGTGTGATCCCCTCCCCAGCCATCCTGATCTCCCCTAAACGGTGTGGTGTGATCCCCTCCCAAGCTATCTCGATCTCCCTAACCGGTGTGGTGTGATCTCCTCCCAAGCCATCCTGCTCTCCCTAACCGGTGTGATGTGATTCTCTCCCCAGCCATCCTGATCTCCCCCTAACCGGTGTGATGTGATCCCCTCCCCAGCCATCTTGATTTTCCCTAACCGGTGTGATGTGATCCCCTCCCCAGCCATCTTGATTTCCCCTAACCGGTGTGATGTGATCCCCTCCCCAGCCATCTTGATCTCCCCTAACCGGTGTGATGTGATCTCCTCCCCAGCCACCCTGATCTCCCTTAACCGGTGTGGTGTGTCCCCTCCCAGTCATCTTGATCACCCCTAACGGGTGTGGTGTGATCCCCTTCCCAGTCATCTTGATCTCCCTAACGGGTGTGGTGTGATCTCCATCTCGGCCATCCTGATCTCCCTAAACGGTGTGGTGTGATCCACGACCCACCCATCTTGATCACCCCTAACCTGTGTGATCCCCTCACCAACCATCCTGATCTCCCTAACGGGTGTGGTGTGATCCCCTCCCTAGCCATCCTGATCTCCCCTAAACGATATGGTGTGATCCCCTCCCCAGCCACCCTGATCTCACTTAACCGGTGTGGTGTGTCCCCTCCCAGTCATCTTGATCACCCCTAACGGGTGTAGTGTGATCCCCTCCCCAGTCATCTTGATCTCCCTAACGGGTGTGGTGTGATCTCCTCCTCAGCCATCCTGATCTGCCTAACCGGTATGATGTGATCCACGACCCAGCCATCCTGATCACCCCTAACCTGTGTGGTGTGATCCTCTCCCTAGCCATCCTGATCTCCCCTAACCGGTGTGATCCCTTTCCCAAACATCATGATCTTCTTAAACGATGCGAGCCTCTCCCCAACCACCCTGCTTTCGCTAATCGACGTGATCCCATCCCCAACCATCCTGATCTCTACAAACAACGTGTCACCCACAAACCCCACCCACCCCACCCCCAACATCCTTCCAGATCTCCCTAATCTGCGTGCAACTCCGTGCCCAATCGTCTTGCTGTCCCCAAACTACGTGCCCCTCCCCCTCCCCCCACACACACAACCTTCCTGATCTGCCACACACAAACGACGACAACACAATAACAAATAACGAAGATAAGTAAGTTAATACCGTTGACATTTTCCCACACTACTATGTCCAAACACAAAGGAATCCCCTATCAATACGATAGGCACACCATAGTCTATGTATAAACACTAATGAAAACCCGATGAATATGATAGGCACACAGGAAAATCCTTTGAATATGATAGGCACAAAGGAAACCCCTATGAATATCATAGGCACAAAGGAAATCCCTATGAATATGATAGGCACAAAGGAAAACCTTATGAATATCACAGGCACAAAAGAATCCCCTATGAATATCATAGACACAAATGAAAACCCTATGAATATGATAGGCACAAAAGAAACCCCTATGAATATCATAGGCACAAAGGAAAACCCTATGAATATGATAGACCCAAAGGAAGCACTATATCAATATGATAGGCACATGTTAGTCTAAATTCATTACATCAAACCCGATGCAACCGTGAGTCCCACCAGCAACGAAACCAGTTTTAAAGCTCGTCATGATATTCACCAAATTCATCAAATTCATCAAATTCACCAATTAAGTCCTCTTCTGGTTGACCTTCCTCGTCAAGCCCAATCGAAGACGCCAAGACATCGCCGTCATCCTCACCTTCTTCGCCAAGCGCAATGGAAGACCACAAGACATCACCATCGCCATCATCCTCACCTTCTTCGTCAAGCGCAATCGAAGATCCAAAGACACCGCCATCATCTAGTTGACCCTCCTCGTCAAGCGCAATGGAAGACCCAAAGACATCGCCATCATCCTCACCCTCTTCCTCTGTACCACCACCATATGCACCACCTTCGTCATTATAAGCATATTTGTCTCCGAGAGCAAACTGAATCTGTTGTACTTGTTTAATTATATCACCAGCGACTAACATGTTCTAATAAAAAAAGGGACATTTGTTGAGAAGAAAATAAAATTTATTTATCCTGGAGAGAGAGAGAGAGAGAGAGAGAGAGAGAGAGAGAGAGAGTTTAACCTCCACTGGACACTAACTAGGTCATTTTGGGACTAACATATGGTCCAATTTTATTTCAATAATTTGCATGTGCATAGGGGACTTTAGCAGTGGGAGGAAACCGGAGAAAACCCACGAGATTGGACAGGCGACCCTACTCCTTGGCACGTACATCCGGAGAATCGAAACAACGCCAGATGACTCAATGACAGAGCTTATGGCACACCGCACACGTGCTAACCATTCGGCCATCCACCCCCCCCCCCCCCCAGCCCCCCGCCCCCATATACAAAAGCAGTAAATATATTTTATATCCTACTAGAGGTTAACTATTTTTCTGTTTATCCAACTTACATCTGAAGACTGTGACGCTACTTCCTGTAAAGATATTTGTCCATCTGCATCTTGATCTAATACTTTTAAAAGCTGAAACATTAAAGGAATCAACTTGATTTAAAAATAAAAGATTGAATTGGGAAGGGGGGGGGGAGGCGGGGTCTGGCCCCAGTTCACAAAACATTCTCAGACTTAAGTTATACATACATTACGCAAGAACTAGATCTGGCTATTGCAGGTCTTTCTTTAGGCCTGAAATGTTACTATTAATTAGACATTTATTAACATGACAAGACCATAATCAACTCTAAGTAGATTAAAACGGTTCGGCCATTTAAGGATTTAATCTAAAAATGGCGAAGCGAGGCTAAGCCTCGAACAACCATTATGATGGTTACAATCAGTGCACATATCTTGTCAAACCTTTAAAGGCTATATCTTCGCCCAGAATAAAGTAATTTGAAGAAAAGTTTCAATATACAATGTACTCATTTTGCATTATCTATTTTTGAACCATTATGCCAAGAACGGCCAATTCAGTACATCAGAGCAGAGACAATTCAAATAAAATGTAATGGGGTTTAACGTACTATTTTCTGTGTTGTATCAACCGGGATGACACAGACTTGGTCATTTCGGGACTTACATATGGTTTAATTTTATTTCAATAATTCGCTTGCGCGTAGGGGTCTTTAGCAGTGGGAGGAAACCGGAGGACTCGGAGAGAATCCACGAGGTTGGACTCCTTGTCACGTACAACCGGGGATTCGAAACCACGCCAGTTGACTCAATGACAGTCCTGATGATACAGCGCGCACGCACTAACCATTCAGCCATCCAACCCCTCTTGCATATAGGATTAGTGTCGACAGTGAAAATACAAAATAGATTGTTATCTTAACAATGTAAAATAATATATGAAGTTACAAAATGGCGATCATGTTCAAATCAAAGATTCCCCACCTTGTTCGCCAAGTCTTTGATTTCATCCAGAGCCACTTTTACAGATTCCTGAAAGGAAATCTTTAATAATTATTTATATGCCAAAATATAAGAAATACTAAATTTTGAACATAGCTAAAACACCTTAGAAATGAAATGGAGTTTAACGTCCTATTGTTTTGTACCGACTGCGCTAATAAAGACGGGCATACGCCATACAGTGTGCTATGAGGGACACTTTGCCCGGGCAGCGGCACTATGGCCAACACTTATACCGAATTCCAACTGCCAGAGGATCTTTTACGTAATGCCAATATATGCACTGGATCTCAGATAGCTGTCCTTGTCAGACCCTCCGTCCTGCACCAATGACAAGGGGTAACCACGTCGGAAAATCCCGATGAACTTCCTCGGCTAATGCAGGGATCGAACACCCGACCTCCAGGGTAACGAGCCAGAGTCTTACCCACTTATAGCCACCGTGGCTCCTTCAATACCTAAGAGTTCGCAATCAACTCCACGAAATATTATACACACACAGTCGCCTGGAAATATCAGTTATATCATGATACTGTACTGTTCTGATCGTTTTGTTGTCTTTCTCATAGCCTGGACCCTAAGACCAGAAGCAAGTGAAAAGAAAGTATACTATTCAAAAAAAGTAGGGGATATTTGATTTTGGGGGCATAATACTAAAATATGCAAATGACTACGAAAAAAGAAAAGTCACTATAGAACCTAACAGAAGAAACATTTCCAGTTACATGTGACGCCCAAACGCACCAATAGCTACCGCATGGAATGCAGGTGATGCTTGGGATCATCATGGGGGTCCAACCCAAGATTTGCACGACTCTGACTTTGAATGTTACAGTCATTGTGGCATTGAATTCCAGGGTGGAAACATCAGTTTAATTGTTTTAGTGACCAGAAAACAAATTTTGATATGCGTCGGCTTACCCAAAATGAAAGGTTACGTGCCCTTGGCATGCTACAGATGGGCACAACACAGGCGGTTGTGGCGCGGACGATGAATGTTTCTCAGTCTGTCATAAGCAGGCTATGGTCCAGATACCGTGATACACAATCTGTACAGGACAGACCACGCTCAGGTCGACCAAGGGCGACAACTCAAGCCCAGGATCGATTTATCCGTACCTTGGCCTTGAGAAATCGTGTCATCACAGCAAATCAGATCAGCGCTCGTCTTCAAACAGACACTGGTGTGAGAGTGAGTGGCCAGACGATTCGGAATCGACTGCATAGAGGTCACCTTCGCGCCCGACGTCCTCGCGTGATCCCTTGTTTGAGAGATCATCACATTCAGGCAAGACGTCGTTGGTGTAGGGATCGTCAACACTGGGATAATCGACGCTGGAGCAATGTGATGTTTTCAGATGAGTCAAGGTTCACTGTTGATTTTTTGGACAGACGTAGGAGGGTGTGGCGTCGTCGAAACGAGCGCTTCCAAGACGTTAACGTCATCAGACATGATCGATTTGGGGGTGGTTCTGTTATGGTGTGGGGAGGCATCACTGTTGCTGGAAGAACGGCTTTACATGTTGTTGCAGGGCGTGTTACAGGCCAGTACTACCGGGACAACATCTTGGCAGTCCATGTTGTGCCGTTCGCACGACGTCATGGCCGCCGTTTCATCTTCCAGGATGACAACGCAAGATGTCACAGGGCCAGGATCGTTACAGGTTACCTCCAACAACAGAACATCACCACATTACCTTGGCCAGCACTGAGTCCCGACCTCTCCCCCATCGAGCATGTCTGGGACATGCTTGGACAGAGGTTACGTCAACGTCAACAACGTCCTGCCAATGTCCAAGAACTTGCTGCTGCGTTGCAACAGGAATGGGACAATCTGGACCAAAATGACCTTAGACGTCTCATTAGGAGTATGCCACGTCGGATCAATGCTTGTTTGGCAAACAGAGGAGGATTTACCCGTTACTGACTTGGTTGTGATGCTGTGGTAACTTTGCTGTTTGACCCCGGGTATCATTTTACCCTTATAATGGTCAGTCTGTGCCTTACTTAGTCTAACGATCATTTGGAATAAATCGATGAATGTTAACTTCATTTCATTTTGTCATTTGTTTCTCCGTCAGTTTCATTAGGTGACTTTAATAACACTTAAAAATCAAATATCCCCTACTTTTTTTGAATAGTATATTTATCTTTGCAACCAGATCAAAGAAACTATTTTGATTAGCAACGATGTGCAACACCAACGATGGTCTGTCTGCTGTCAGTAACGCGGAATCAATGAACCGCAAACTGTCGACCAGATCTGAACGGCACAAAGGTACAGTCCTTAGAAGAATGATAATGTAAAAACAGGAGAGAGAGGGGGTGGGGTGGGGTGGGTGTGGTCCACTCAATACAAACTAGGTCATTTTTCGGGGCTAACATACGTTTAAGCTTTATTTCATTTATTCGTAAGGGCTTTAGATGGGGAAGGAAACCCGAAGTACCATGAGGTTAGAGAGGCGACCCTACTCCTTGTCACGTACAATCTGGAATAGTAACCACACCACTTGCCTCAATGACAGACCTTAAACCAATCGATCGCCCCCAGAAGAATAACAAATTAAACTTACGTCTCCTTCGGCCTGCACTATAACCTGAAGATAAAAAAAACAGACCGAGCTAATGAAGTTGGGTATGCGGAAGGAAAATTTTACCCTGATAACAACGTTTCCGCCTACTGTAGTACTATCAGATGGCCAATCTTCAATATTCAATCTTCACGCTGTGTTTTCTTCCGTGACTAAGTTACAACTACAGTTCAGGTTCTTTTCTTAAAATACTTTATTTCTACAAACTGGAAGTGTTACAATTCTTCCTAGTCTCAAATAACTAAATGGCTGGTATGACCGGCGGAGTGAGCTCTGCCGAATGCTATTTCCCAACCCTATTTTATAGGCACCTATTCCTTTGTCTGAGGTGTTAATCTAAAGACTGATAACAACTAAGTTCTAAATAAGGAAAGGACATGCACCCCAAACTGAACATCGCCAGGGATTGTTACCTTATTTGGTCAACAAATATGATATATATTTTATAACAAAGAAAAATGTAAATGACCAACATGCTCATTAATCTATAGCTCAGTTAACGTATCAAAATAACCGGCATATACTTTCTATATTTGTGGTTATGAAGTTAGAATCAATAATATGAAAGATAACGCTATTGTTCTAGCCATCATATTTCTACATTCTTGTCTTTAGACCCCATGTCTTGTTATTGTCACAATATTCATAACCAATTTTAATTTGCGTTTCAGAATTAACTTGTACCCTAGCTAATATTTTGACAATGGAGAATAATTAATCAAAACCCTAATATTATTTTACATAGATGTTTCAAAGCACAAATTCTTTCCCTCCATATTACTACACCTACTGGGCCTCGGTTTTTGTTTTATCCAAACTACTAGACACTTTCATTGCTATGACAACAGGTAATCCGATGAACCTTACTGGGCATTGCCATCTTTTTGCAATGCAAAGCGTTCGGGGATAAAAGGAAAGGCATGGCTTCTAATGTCTCGGCAACTCTATGCTTAAGTCTTGTACGTACATGTACCGGAAGTTATGTATAGGGAAGTAATCATGTTGCACTATTTACCGGAAGTCATCGTGTTTTTTTAGGACTTCGAATTTTGTCTAGAGGTTTGGATTGTTCGTACTTGGTTTTGTTTTATTTTATTATTACTATATTCAGGATGTACTATACACAGGAAGTTCTATGTTGTACTATCTAATCATGTTGCACAACTCACCGGAAGTAATTATGTTGTACTATGTACCGGAAGTAACCTGAATGAATCTTGCCAATAACATACAGAAAACGAACGAGGTTGGACGGGCGACTCTATTCCTTGTCACATGTAAACGAGGAATCGAGGTACTCGGGACCTTGCAAACCTGTAAATGGTGTGATTCTATGATAAGGGGGGGGGGGGTTAAAACTTTCTGACATGATACATTAGTGAATTTGTAGGCTAAGTATTGACTAGTACTGACGGTGATCTTGGTAGATAACTATCATCATGCTGTAATAAAACTAAGTTCAGCTCAACTACGCATACGTACGCCGCGCGAAAAATCTACCAAACCTCTAGAACTACATTGACGCAACGTATCACGTGACGGCACGGATACGTGATACGGATGGGACAAAGTCCGCTTGCCAAAAGTCTCTAATGGTTCTTTTACGTGTACGCCAATGTATACACGGGCATGAATCGATCTTTCATCTCACAACTTTAGTTATGACTCTCCGAATAACATTTGGAGCAATAAGTGTCGAATATATTATTATTATTATTGTTCGATTTATATAGCGCTTCATTACACATGAGTGTTTCTAAGCGCATTCACAAAAAAACAGTTCAAAAACATTTTTGAAATAAGTATGTTTTTAAGTTCGTCTTAAAGCTCTGGATGGAAGAGGACTCTCGAAGAGTTTTTGGAAGATCATTCCACATTTTAGCTGCTCTGACGGAGAAAGCATATTCACCAGAACGCTTATTATATTTGGGGATCCTCGATATGCTACGATCACTTGAAGAACGAAGGTGGGATCGCCGGGGAGTGTAGAAATCAAAGAGTTCTTTTAAATAACTGGGTGCGGTGTCAGAATAAATTGATTTAAACACATTCACAAGAGCTTTAAATTGAACCCTCGCTCGAACTGGAAGCCAATGGAGTTTCTGTGGAATATACTACTTATCATTGTGTCTATATTTACCGTTTATTTTCATCTGAACTTATATACTTACGGGAATGAGCTCTAAAATAAATTCATCATACGGCACCATTTTATTTGGTACTAAATTCAGTTCATCCATTATGTAAGCCCTGTAAAACCGATTGGTAACGTAACTTAGACACCATGTTCACACTACGGTCAACAGTCCAGTTGTTGGGGAACAGGAACTGGGCCCTGTTTCTCGAAATCTTAACTAAAGATAAAATCCAAATTTTAGTAGATACTTCAATTTTGATTGGCTAAGCACTAAAATCAATCCAATATTATTCAATCAAATTACTAAAATTTGAATTTTATCATAGTAAAATTTCGTGAAACAGGCCCCCGGTCACTAACCGCTTTTGTTGTTCTTTGTTAATTATTGGGGTGATGTTCTTCGACAAAGCTGAAGGCTCCGTCAGTTCAAGTCCGATCCACATGGCAATTTGTATTCTTCTTCTTTGAACAATTCAGCATTGATTTGTTAAATTAGATTTTTGATTTCATCCAACAACATGGTCAATTCCTGATCCATAGAGGATCGTACTTGATGCCAAACATGGGGTTTAATATATGTATACTGGCCCGAGTTCACAAAGCATTCCCTTACTTAACTTAAGAATTTATTCAACTTTCAATGACTGTTTATGAGAAATATCTGTGATCCAGAAACACAAAACTTTGCACATAGTTTCTTATTGATGTGTTTGATACATTAAAACAACAAAAGTTTTATTTTAGTAAAAATAAGGCAAATAATTTTGAGTAAATTCTTAACTTGAGTCTGAGAATGCTTTGCGAACTCGGGGCCTGGTCGTTAAAAATTAAACAATTTTGTGGGTGGAACAGAAGACATAATTTACTTTTGAAAATAAAGATGATAATATGGTTGGTCGTCTTTATTTTCCTCTAAATACTTGGCTTTGTTGTTTTACAGGGCGGTTGGGTGGTGTGTCTATTAGAGGATGGGTTGGGGTGGGTGTCGTTGCTGGGGGCGTTTGGTCACACGGATTGCAGTAATTTAACTTGTGTCTATATTTATGTTATATTACTTACCTCAAAGGTTCACCGGAAGTTGGTAACCTATTGGATGATTTAGTTTTGACTCCATGCAAGGTCATATTTGGATCACATTTTTTATTGCATTGACTGGTGTCGACATCTAAAGCTGAATAGTGATTCCACCAAATATTCACAGCTAAATTACTGTTATATGATCTCACTTGATGTATCCTGTAATAGATAGGTTACTATTAGAGAGAGAGAGAGAGAATGTAATTCTAAATCTTGTATTTCATTAAATCCACTTAAAGTGGATTACAAACATTCAAATAAATGTGTCATCTATTTATTTAATAGGAAACTATTAAAATGGGTAATGAACATTGTATTGAAAAGGATTCATTATATTTCATATTAGAAAATTTATTGAGGCAAAATATGACCACTTCAACATCGCCATTAAATTGTAAATTAACTAATCGTTAATGTACTTTACTGCTGACTTAAAATCTACTAATTTTATGCATTTTGGTGTTAAAAAATAAGATAGAAATTAAAATTATATGACATTGATTGGCGAAGATATTTTTACACTTAATTTACTTATAAATGGATTTATCTCCCCTGAAATTTATCTCCACTCATTTCGGGACTGACATATGGTTCAATTATATTTCAAAAATTCGCTTGCGCGTAGGGGTCGTTAGCAGTGGGACGAGGGACCCGGAGCAAGCCCATGAAGTAGGACAGGCGACGACCCTACTCCTTATCACATTCAAGCGGGGTATCGAAACCATGCCACTTTGCCCACCCACTTTATGAGAGAGAGAGAGAGAGAGAGAGAGTAACATATGGTTACTAAATTACTAAATATTAACAGTTAGATTACTTAATATTAAGTGCTAGATTACTAAATATTAACCGTTATATTACTAAATATTAACTGCTAGATTACTAAAGATTAACTGTTATATTATTTAATATTAACTGCTAGTTTACTAAATATTAACTGCTATATTACTAAATGTCAACTGCTAGATTACTAAATATTAACTGTTATATTACTTAATATTAACTGCTAGATTACTAAATATTAACTGCTAGATTACTAAATATTAACTGTTATATTACTTAATATTAACTGTTAGATTACTAAATATTAACTGCTACATTACTAAATATTAACTGTTATATTACTTAATATTAACTGCTAGATTACTAAATATTAACTGTTAGATTACTTAATATTAACTGTTAGATTACTAAATATTAACCGTTATATTACTACATACTAACTGTTAGATTACTAAATATTAACTGCTAGATTACTAAATATTAACGGCTAGATTACTAGATTACTAAATATTAACTGCTAGATTACTAAATATTAACTGCTAGATTACTAAATATTAACTGCTAGATTACTTAATATTAACTGCTAGATTACTAAATATTAACCGTTATATTACTATATACTAACTGTTAGATTACTTAATATTAACTGCTATATTACTATATACTAACTGTTATATTACTTAATATATTACTTGATAAATATATAACTGGTAGATTGCTAACGATCGTCGAACTGAAATATAATATCCTACTTTGTATCGATCTGATTAATACACATTTCGGTTCGTTTTTTGTTATAGTTCAAAATTTCGTTTTACTTGTCTTTACTACACTAGGATCTGGAAGAGTTATTATATAACCTGCGTTCTTGATGATGTCAGGCAGGGGTTAGCTAATGAAATGGTATGTTACGACAAGTTTTTGTCGTGAGGTGTACGGAACTGTGGTAAAGCTACTAGAAACACCAACGCTGATTGGATAATCGAATGTCTAACGTCATAGGGTCAAAAGCCGCTCGTATGACCTCTAACGCGACGTTCCACTACAACCGATCAGATCTTCATGTACTGTAGGTCATTGAAAGTAAAAACCAAAACGAAACGAAATATAGATCTCTGTACTTTAATGAGATTGGGATAGAGATGAATATATTTGGTTTAATACTAACCATTTGTACGGTATGTACAGGCAATCACCGGGTTCCATATGCGCATGAATATATTCTATTTTGGCTAACGTGGGATATTTTGTATAATCCATTCTGAAATTAAAAACATATAATATATATTTGGTGGCTTTCGTTGTTGTCGGTCAATATTCAATAACTTAAACGACAGGGATCAAACACCCGACCTCCAGTATAGCGAGCCAACGTCTTACCGTAGATAAATATAAAAGAACTTGCTTACTTATCTACATCAATGGTTGAATAAGCTCCCTCTGGTCTATCTATAGGTACCTGTACAAAGAAAAATACATGGCATTATCTCAATAATAGACTCTCTCTCTCTCTCTCTCTCTCTCTCTCTCTCTGCGGCAATGACAATGTCAGTTTAAGAATGCATTATGTAAGAACCAAATCCGTCCATTGAAGATCTCTTTTTTTGGAGGTGGGGGTGCTGGCTCAAATGTTATATATATTCTCAATCCGACATTTCTTAACATCTTCAGACCATAATCAACTAGCCTACCATCGGATGTTCGCGATTTTCAATGAATTGAAACAAGATCAATGAATTGAAACCATTCGGCCATCCACCCCCTCAAGCTAATACAGCAATACAATAATAAATTAAAGATACATTATGGGAGATCAGATAAAGAGCTGCCACTTCTCACTATAATAGTTAAAAGCTAGATAATGTAAAGGGAATATGCTGAAAATTTCAGTCAAATTGCTCCATTCTGAATCGAGATTTTAGCGATTGAATTTTAGGCCTAGCCTCGTTCATCATTACTAATGTCAGTACGATAAAAACATAGTCTCGATTATCCATTTTTTGGGGTTTAATCATCAATGAGCGTTGAGCAGCAGATCGGATTCAAATCCAGTGAAAATCTGACGCATGAGATGGCATCAAGAGTTGATTATGGTCTTTTCGTGGTAATAAATATCTAATTAATAGTTTATATAACATAAAGAAAGACCTGCAATAGGCAGATTTAGTTCTTGTATAATGTATGTTTAACTTACCATATTTTTAAATTTAACCGGGTCTACAATTATAAAATCTTTACTTCCACGATACACACAGTTTATGTTGTCAAATCCATCATGGTGTACAACTGAGTTGGTTCCACCACTACTGAACCACATCAGCTAAAAAAAAAAATACAAAAAATATTGGTTTATTTCAGACTTGGAAAAAAAAGCAACATCAAATATTGCGAATGGAGAACGGTAGATGGCTAACCCCTAGTGACAAGGAGTAGGGTCGCCTGACCAACCTCGTGGGTTGTCTCCGGGTCTTCCTACGCGCATGCGAATTATTGAAATAAAATTGAACCATGTGTTAGTCCCAAAATGACCTAGTTTGTGTCGTGTGGGCGTTGAACCCCATTTCACTCTCTCTCCCTAGATTCTTATCGGCTTTGACCTCTATCCGTTACTGCCTCATCCTATAGACAACTAATATGAAAATAGGGCTTTCACCCCATCTCGGTTCTAAGGCTATTTTGGAATCCTTACTGTCTATTTTTCACCGTGATTCTGCTTTTTGTGCCAAAGGGAATTATTTTTTGCCACATCCGACACAAATTTATAATAATCCAACACTATTTTCATATAGAATTTAGCGATCCAAAAATACAAACAAAATTCGTTTGAAATGATCCGCCATTATGAAACTCACGCAGTAACGGATGAGGCAGTAACGGATACAGGCCAAAGCCGACAAGTACCCGTTACTAAAGTAACTAGCCAACCCCGGGATAATGTGGACACCGGATGATAATAAATTAAATGAAATGAGATTAACGTCCTATTGTACTGCAACGACTGAGCTAATGAAATGGGGTTTAACGTCCTACTGTTCTGCTCCTAAACTGGGCTAATGAAGACGGGCATACGCCATACAGTGTAATATATGAAGAAAATGTGGCGCCTACTCTCATTTCGAATGCCAACTGTCAAGGAAGCTTTTATGTGCACGCCAATGTATACATGGGACCTCGGAATTTTGTTCCTTCCAAACAATTATACGTCGCCCACCCCCACCCTCACTAGATCCGCCCTTGAAAATATTTTTAACCTACTCCAATTCGAGACCAAGTTCAATGTGAGGTGACCCCCCACCCCACCCTCACTAGATCCGCCCTTGAAAATATTTTTAACCTACTCAAATTCGAGAACAAGTTCATAATCGGGCCAACGTGAGGTTAATCCCCCCACCCCCACCCTCACTCTCACTAGATCCGCCCTTGAAAATATTTATAATCTACTCCACTTGGAAAACAAGTTCATAATCGGCCAACGACAGAAGATATAAAGGCAGGCGAAAGCAGGCTACAAGTTCACAAAGCATTCTCAGAATTAATTTAAGAATTTACTCAATTTTCAATCACTGTTTATGTGAAATATCTTTGACCAAGAAACACAAAACTTTGCATATAGGTTCTTATTGATGTATTTGATACATAAAAACGATAAAAGTTTTATAAAGGGCTATATTTTAGCTAAAATAAGACAAACAGTTTTGTTTTGAGTAAATTCTTAAGTTAAGTCTGAGAATGCTTTGTGAACTTGAGGCCTGAAATCAATGACCAGTTTCAAATAATGCATTTCACAGGTGATATTGACTGTATGGAATTCCCGTATGTTTGAATAAATAGATTTGTTTTGACTTCGATCCACGGTATACGTCCTAAGATTTTATGGTTATCAATAAATTATTCATACAATGTTCAAATAACTGTGGTGGCTGATTGGTATAATGTCGTGATGTCGTAATGTTGTTATCTTTTATAAGGTGACCAACCGACAACGCAACATCACGACATTTCTACCGTACACCAAGACAAAACGACAACCCGGCACCACGACAAAGAGACTCTACGTCATTATTACTGTTGAGAATTTTATCAGCTTATTAATAAAAAATAGGACAGAATTGATCATGAACAACATAATAGATCATGAAAGTAGACAAAGCGACAGCCCGAAATCACGACAACCCGACATCACGACATGATACCAATCAGCCACCATAAACAACCGTTGTGGTAAAGGGCGTACACGGGCGGAGTTAAGGGGTTAAGTTCGGGAGTTTAATACGCATAATGTATATAAAAAAATACAGAGAGAGAGAGAGAGAGGGAGAGAGAGAGAGAGAGGGAGAGAGAGGGAGAGAGAGAGAGAGAGAGGGAGAGAGAGGGAGAGAGAGAGGGAGAGAGAGGGAGAGGGAGGTAAAAGGGTTAAGTTCGGGAGTTTAAAATGCATAATGTACATAAAAAAATACAGAGAGAGAGAGAGGGAGAGAGAGCCAGAGGGAGGTAAAAGGGTTAAGTTCGGGAGTTTAAAATGCATAATGTACATAAAAAAATACAGAGAGAGAGAGAGAGGGGGAGAGAGAGAGAGGGAGGTAAAAGGGTTAAGTTCGGGAGTTTAAAAAATGCATAATGTACATAAATAAATAGAGAGGGAGAGAGAGAGAGAGAGAGAGTTTAACGTCCATCATAAGGACTCTTATTGAGTCAACTGGCGGGGTTTCGATTCCCCGGTTGTACGTGACAAGGTGTAGGGTCGCCTGTCCAACCTCCTGGGTCTTCTCCGGGTCCTCCGGTTTACTCCCACAACTAAAGACCCCTACGCACAAGCGAAATATTGAAATAAAATTAAACCATATGTTAGTCCCGAAATGACCTAGTTTGTGTCGAGTGGACTCAATGACAGACTTTATGATACAGCGCGCACGTGCTAACCATTCAGCCATCCCCCCCCCAACCAGGATTAAGAAAATACAACCTATTTTGTATCATTTATCGGGGGTGGGGGGGGGGAGTTAGATGGCTGAATGGTTAGCACGTGCGCGCTGTATCATAAAGTCTGTCATTGAGTCAACTGGCGAGATTTTAATTCCCCTGTCAAGGGATCTTTAACGTACACGGGGATTAGGAAAACGTATTTTGTATCATTTATGGAGTTCTAAATTACAAAATGAAGCTGTGTTAACAGCCAACTGTTCTGCTCCGATTGGGCTCATAAAAATTGGCACACGTCAAATTGTATGCTATGAGCAAAGCCCACCTTAGGCATAGGCCAAATGGGCCCAGGCCCAGGTCCCGCGGTTCATGTCAAAGCGAGAAAAAATACAATTAAATTCCAGATGAAAGTTCCACTTATCGGTCTAGCGGCGAGATTGGCGGAGACTGTGTGAGTCCTCTATCTCTCAACCTTGTTTGTGATTGGTCGAAACCCGTGACATAGGCGATTGTGATCGCAGGTATGCTAATTATATGCCATTCGGAACTGAATAGATTTCCTATTTGATCAGATATTATGTAATTTCTTATTGTACTGCAGACCGTTTATTGTATGTTACGCATGCGTGCCATTCAAAAGGACATGCGTGACCTTCGAAAAGATATAAAATAATATTTTCGTAGCTTTAGGGGCCACGCGATTCTAGTCTGGCCCAGGGCCGCGCTCCGTTTAAGCTGGGCTTTGGCTATGAGGGAAACTTTGCTCGGACAACGGCGCTACGACCTATTAAAATATACGAGAATTAATAAAATAATATATATTTATTACGATATCATCCAGTTTTCCCGCCAATATACTTTGACACTGTAGACTGCACGGAACAATCAGATCAGATCTGTAAATATAAAGAAATGAATGAGAGGTTCTTTTACGTGCATACCAACGTGTACAGGAGTGGGCAAATATAAGGTATAACGTCCACTCACTAACTATGTTATTCGGAACTAACATTTTAATTTCATTTATTTGATTGCACGTTAGAGGCAAATCGGAGAACTTGGAACTAAAATGCGACTGTATGACCTACTCTTAGATCGAATTCCAACAGCCAAAGGATCTTTTACGTGCACGCTAATGTGTATACGGGACCTCAGTTTTTCGCTTCATCCGAACGACTAGACAGCTGTCCTTGAAAGGCCATCCGCCCTGCGCCACTGACAATGATATATTGTACAGCTATATTAAGAGTCATGCGTTATGAACAATGGCTTGTCTGCGATATCACTTCGGTGGAAGCGGACGTTAAATAAAGCTATTTCACACACACACACGGGCTATAGTATGTATATGGGGTATATAAATAGCGGGGTTGGATGGCCGAATGGTTAGCACGTGCGCTTTGTATCACAAGGTCTGTGATTGAGTCAAGTGGCATGGTTTCGATTCCCCGGTTGTACGTGACAAGGAGAGAGTCGCTTGTCCAACCTCGTGGGTTTTCTCCAGGTCCTCCAGTTTCCTCCCACTGCTACAGACCCCTACGCGCAAGCGAATTATTGAAATAAAATTGAACCATATGTTAGTCCCGAAATGACCTAGTTTGTGTCGAGTGGACGTTAAACCCCATTTCCCCTCTCTCTCCCTCTCTCTCTCTCTCGGAACCATATGTTAGTTGCGAAATGACCTAGTTTGTATCGTTCTCTCTCTCCCTGGGTATATAAATAGGGTAATCACGCATACCAAGGTATATAAAACAAACTTCTAACCACAATCAATAAATAACAATTGTAGAGTTCAAATAGCCATAATAATCAATTTGAATAAATGCTACCTAAGATTAGTTGTTAATATATTGATATGGAGGGTCTAATGTATGGAGAACCAAACAGCTCTTTATTCTTAGGACTATGAATTAAGAACTAAGAAGTAAAAACATTGAATAATGAGCTGTTTGGTCTTCATACTAATGTCCTACTTCGCTACACCGATTGGGCTAATGAAAACGGACATACGTCATGCAGTGTGCTATGTGGACAATTGTGCCCTGACATCGGCGCTACGACCTACTTGAATTCCAACTGTCAATGGTTCTTTTGCGTGCACACCAATTTCATACATCAGTGACAAAGGAAACCACGCTGTATGATTATAAAACTGTACATTATTACCCAATAGAACAGTCCATTATTACCTAATAGAACATCCCATTATTACCTAATAGAACAGCCCATTATTACCTAACAGAACAGGTCATTATTACCTAATAGAGCAGCTCATTATTACCTATTAGAAGAGGCCATTATTACCCAATGGAACAGCCTATTTTTACCTAATAGAACAGCCCATAATTACCTAATAGAACAGCTCATTATTACCTAATAGAACGGAATACCCATATGAAATGAGGTTTAGCATCCACTTGACACAAACTAGGTCAATCCGAGACTAACATATGGTTCAGTATTATTTCAACAATTCGCTTGCGCCTACACCACTTGACTCAATGACAGATCTATGCTCTAGACAGCGCACCTATAAGACCATTCTGCCAGCCAACCCCGTGCTAGGTTCCCACTATCACGATTCGTGCTGCGATTGAAATCGTGGTTTTAATCGTGGAGTAATTGGGGTGATCCTATCAGGTCTTACCATATATTGAGGTCATTGGTAGCAATCGTGTTGATTATAATATTATTCTATTTACGTTATGTAGTTTGTAACTATTATAGCGAGTACTGTCAACTCTCTATCTGATGGGGGGTTGGATGGCCGAATGGTTAGCACGTGCGCGCTGTATCATAAAGTCTGTCATTAAATCAACTGGCGTGGTTTCTAAGCCCCGATTGTACGTGACAAGGAGTAGGGTCGCCTGTCCAACCTCGTGGGTTTTCTCCGGAAAATCCGGTTTCCTCCCACTGCTAAAGACCCCTACGCGCAAACGAATTATTGAAATAAAATTGAACCATGTGTTGGTCCAGAAATGACCTAGTTTGTGCGGAGTGGAGTTAAACCCCATCTCTCTCTCTCTCTCCCTCTCTCTCTCCCCCTCTATCTCCCCCTCTCTCTCTCTCCCTCCCCTCTCTCTCTCACACACACATAATTGCCCTTTAACAATACATAAATAGATCTTACTTTAGATATTCTGGTACATTGTCCACCATGTAATAAGTAGAATTCATGTATGTTTTCACAAACTTCTTGAAAGCCATATTCATCGTTTTTTGTTGTCGACTTTCTTTTTTAACCGTCTCCAGAAAAACAGTACTATGTTCCGGGATATTCAGATTCAAGAAATATTCGTCCGTCCACAATTTAAAGGCAGGCGACATTTTGGCACCGGATGCTATTTTAACAGGTTTTTGTGGAAAAAAATAGTTTTTGAAAAAATCGTCCGGACTTGGGAAACCCTGTACTTCCTCAATGTCATGGATTGGCCTCCCGGTTCCGAATGGTTTTAAATGTCCTGGTTCTGTCGTTAGATCGATTTCCTCGCTTCCATAATTCAGACTAATAAAACATGTAAAATAGATGAAAAAGTAAAAAAACAATCGGGCACTTAATAGATCCATATTATTTCAATATGTACCGATGGACGATCCGATATAGGAAGAGGCCACAGTTGTCGCTGTTTGTTATCCAATAGTCACTCTGTCGTGAGTGCGATATAGGAAAAGACCACAGTGGTTATGTTGTAGCTGTTTATCATCCAATAGTCAAACTACATGTATATAATCTGCCGTGTGTACCATATGGTGTTTATTGGCTACTATTTAAAGAGAAACCTTTTTAAACGGACCAGCAGTTAAAATCACTGATTGAAAGTGATAATGACCTATCGAGGCGTTAAAGGAACTAAATCACTAATATTTGGCACCTAGGAATTGACACAGATGGGCCGGCCGCACCGCATATAATAATGTATATAAACTGATTAACATTCCGTTTCCGTTTCCTATTTAGTATAAATGGTTTCATAAATTAGTACGCGAAAGTATAAAAATAGTACAGGGCGCCAATTCTGCCTGGACCAGTTTGTGACGTAACATTGTAAACCAAGGCTTCCGCATTACCGCTGTCAAACACTTGAAACAGTTCGACAACTTTTATGAATAATTCAATGCTATTTTAACATAAATTTTATACCAATTAAATTTAGTACACCCCACTTTCATATCTATTTTGTGGTCTAAAAGGGAGCAACGATGGCTCAGTAGATAAGGACCTCGGTCACTTATTAGGAGTGACCTTTGATCCTGGTGTTAGCGGAGAAAGGTTCCGGGATTTCCAAACATGGTTTCCCTTGTCAGTTATGCAGGACGAAGGGCCTGGCAAGGAAAAGTCTCTAGTCGCTAAGATAGCACTAAAAAAAAAAACCCGAGAGGCCCCGTATGCACGTATCGAATCCTGATAGAATTCGAAACATGAGTCGACTGTAGTGCGGGTGTTTGGGGAAAAAATCCCTCTCGTCAATTTTCCGTTAGGTGCAGAAATGAAATGAAATGAAATGGGGTTTAACGTCCTACTGTTCTGCCCCAAACTGGGCTAATGAAAACGGGCATACGCCATACAGTGTGCTATGAGGGAAATTTTGCCCGGACAGCGGCACTACGGCCTACTCTTATATCGAATTCCAACTGTCACGGGATCTTTTACGTGCACGCCAATGTGGGACCTCGGTTTTTCGTTCCACCCGAACGACTAGACAGCTGTCCCTGTCAGACCCTCCGTCCTGCATCACTGACAAGGTGGAACCACGCCCCTCCGTTAGGTGCAAAAAAGTAAGATGCTAAATTTCATTTCATTTCAATCCATGTACGATATAACAACATCTCCAAGAGACTCATCCAAGTCTCTTCCTTAATTGTTTTTATTTAAGCACAATGTAACTTTAAACTTTGGTGAATTAAAATAGTATTAAAATAATCTATTGCTCATTTATAGATTATATGTTTAAATAATATTTTTATTACGTATTACTATATAATCAATTTTATATCTATCTTTGAGTGACATTTAGCGTTTGGGAAACACATTAACAGAACACAATTTTTATGGGAAACAATCACTGGTTTTAACGATAACGATAAGAGGATACCTGTCGAAACGTCGTGCTTTTAGAATAAAACTGGTGATTGTTTCCCATAAAAATTGTGTTCTGTTAATTCTATATTTATATACTAGATATGGATACAATAACACGCATTGTTGCTTATTTAATATGTCTTCCATATGTTGTTAAGCTTTATGCGATAAAATCAATAATTTCTATTGTAAGCAGTTTTTACACACAGTGATGTGCGAGAGAGAGAGAGAGAGAGAGAGAGAGAGAGAGTATTACAAGGCAACATATTATATATTTGTCAATTATAAGTTTGAACATGTTCTTAAATCAATGATTGTATAAAATATATGCATTACCGAATTAATTATGGTTATGAGCATTATCATCATTGCTGCGAGCGAGAGAGAGAGAGAAAGTGATGTGCGAGAGAGAGAGAGAGAGAGAGAGAGTGAGAGAGAGAGAGAGAGATGGGTTTAACGTCCACTCGACACAAACAAGGTCATTTCGGGAATAACATGGTTTAATCACTTGCGCGTAGGGGTCTTTAGCAGTGGGAGGAAACCGGAGGAAACGCGGAAATCCCACGAGGTTGGACAGGCAATCCTACTCCTTGTCACGTACAACAGAGGATTCGAAACCACGCAAGTTGACTCAATGACAGGCCTTAGGATACAGCGCGCACGTGCCAACCATTCGGCCATTCCCCCCGCCCCCCAATGTGCTAGAGAATGTTACGTCCAGCTGTTTACATATAGTGTTGTGCTAGAGAATATGACGCCCAGTTGTACTAGAGAATGCGACGTCCAGTTGTTTATACATCGTGTTGTACTAGAGAATATGACGCCTAGTTGTGTATACACCGTGTTGTGTTAGAGAATGCGACGTCCGGTGACAGTCCTTATGTTCGCTGGCAACCACCACCAACATACTCATACACAGCACAGAGCAGCTAATCTAGCTGGATGTTGGCGCTCTATAAATGTCCCCAATACAGGTCAGAGTTCCTTGGGACTTTCGGTGCCTTTTCCCCTTGTCAGTGATGCTGGACGGAGATCTCTAGTCGTTCGGATGGTACGAACCCGGTCAAATGTTGCCCCATAGTACCATGTATGACGTAAGCCATCTTCATACGACCAGTCGGTGGAGAACAAGTGAGAAGTTAAACTCCATTTCATTTAGCTTGGACCCAAAGGATTACACGTATAAGGCTCAGAGTCTTCAAAATAAGTATCGTGTTTAGGCACTTGATGATGTGGACTATAAGTAGGACAATAATAATAATAATAATAATAATAATAATAATAATAAATGCCGATTTCTTGAGCGCCAATTCCATCCATAAGCATCCTCAAAGCGCTTTTATGAGTAGTAAACTATATGCATAAACTCTGTTCAAAAATTTAGTCAGCATAAGATTGTTTTAACAAGTGAGTTTTTAATTGGTTTGTGAAACTTGTAAGAGTTTTGCTGTTACAGGAAGTAATTACAAGTTCCGCTTCCCTTTTATTGATAAATTTTCCTAATTAATCCGGCCACCTTGACCACCGGTTATTTATCATCATTTGAATCAGTAGAGACCGGGATTTAGAGCATAGGCGTACGGGGAAATTTTTGACTGGGGGGCGGTGGTGGTTGGTGCCCAAAAAATGTAGTTAGGTTCTTAGTATGTTACATAATAATAATAAATTGGACACATTCAAGAACACAATATTTTTTATACAACTTTTACAAAGTACAATTGTGTGCCCAAATTTTCCCAGCGGCCGCCCCCCCCCCCTCAGCACCCCCAGCTCGTAGGCCTATGGTTTAGAGTCATATTGGAGAGAAATAGTGTTTATCAATACTGGACCCAAGTTCACAAAGCATTCTCAGACTAAAGTTAAAGATACATTATAGTTAAGAGTTTAATAAAGAGTTGGTCATTCTTGCTATAATAATTCACAAACAGATGATAAAAAAAGAAAATATTGAAAATTTCATTCAAATTACTTCATTCTCAGTCAAGTTATCATTGTTTGTAGTTTTGACAAGATGTGTGCACAGTGGTAACCAGGGCACTGGTATAATCGGGACTTAGCCTCGCTTTCCCATTTTTAAATTAAATTTTTAAATGGCGAACCGTTTTAATCTAGTTAAAATCTCGAGTATCCATCGAGAGTTGATTATGGTCTTGTTTTGTTAATAAATGTCTAATTAATAGTTTATATAACATTTCAGGCCTAAAGAAAGACCTGCAATAGGCAAATTTAGCTCTTGCATAGTGTATGTTTAAGAATTTACTCAGAATTGTTCACCTTAATTTAACTAAAATATAGCCCTTTATAAAACTGTTGTTGTTTTAATGTATCAAATACATCAATAAGAAACTATGTGCAAAAAATTGTGTTTCTGGATCAAAGATATTTCTCATAAAGAGTGGTTGAAAGTTGAGTAAATTCTTAAATTAAGTCTGAGAATGCTACGTTGACTTTACGACAAAAACAACAGCGACGAAACAGAGAGAGAGAGAGAGAGAGAGAGAGAGAAATGGGGTTTAACGTCCACTCGACACAAACTAGGTCATTTCTGGACTAACATATGGTTTAATTTTTTTTTATTTCAATACTTTGCTTGCGCGTAGGGGTCTTTAGCAGTGGGAGGAAACCGGGGAACCCGGAAAAAAACACGAGGTTGGACGGGCGACCCAATCCTTGTCACGTATAATCGTGGAATCGAAACCCTGCCAGTTGACTCAATGACAGACCATTCGGCCATCCAACCCCCAGCGACGAAACAGCTTGTTGGTATTTCGATCCCTATTGTCAGGGATGCACGTAAAAGAATCCTTGGCAGTTAGAATTCGATATAAGAGTAGGCCATAGTGTCCCTGCCTGGGCAAAATTTCCCTCATAGCACACTGTATGGCGTATGCCCGTCTTCATTAGCCCAGTTTAGGAGCCACAGTAGAATGTTAAACCACATTTAATTTCATCTTGAATGTTTGACCATTTAATACAGATTTACCCCCCCCCCCCCCCCACCTCTACCCCTCCATTTAAGATCTCTTCTAATTCGTATACGGGGGGGGGGGGGCTGGTAGGCGGCCGTGAGCGTTGGACCACAACGTGGTGTAGTTTCGATTTCCGGCTTGTACGTGACAAGTGTTATGGTCGCCTGTGTAACCTTGTGGGTTTTCTCCGGAAGCTTCGGTTTCCTCCCACTTCTAAAGACCCATGCGCGCAAGTCAATTATGGAAACCAAAAATGACCTAATTTGTGTCGAGTGGACGTTGACCTCTCTCCCTCTCTCTCTCTCTCTCTCTCTCTCTCAATCGTATAATAAATATAAATTCCTGGGAATATAGGCCCCGCAGGACCACTAAGCAGTTACACTAGGATTAATCTATCCGCCATTTTGATAAGTTAATTTAGCGGAAATAAAACCAACGTCTAACGAGCCCCGAGTGTCGTGTTCTAGTGAACTCGCCAATGACCTGTTCGGGGTTTGTAGTTTGTGTACACAATCAAAATATTGTTTAATAGTCCCCTGTATCCTACAACAGGAGCTCAGTACAATGGACACAGAGTTTTTGCATATTCTTGAAGTAATGGCCCGAGAAATCCCTCTCTGGCCATTGCTGGATTGACATCTGATACTTCAT